CCGCCAGGGGCCCCCCCCCCCCAAGCACAAACAAAAAACTCACCCTTCGCTGACTAAGGAGAAAGACACTCCCCACATTCCCCTTGCACACCAGAACTAGTAGATTTTGTGTGCTCCTGCCATTCAGTAGGGCAGTTGAGGGGCTGGAGCACAAATGCGAGCTCCCCAGTGCTTGGGGGGGAAGGGGGCACTGCTTTAGAGCCACAGCACAGACCACCGCCACCGGAGCTAACGGAGTAACTGCCAGTCCAGGTTCCCACCCCCACCCCTATTCCTTCTATCTAGATCCCAGTCCTGGTCTCATCCACAGGATCTACATCCAGTCATCCCCTGCCTCATCTCCTAACCTAGGTTATCCCCTCCGTGGCTCATCCCAGTCTCTTGACCCACAGTCCTAGTTCTCCCCCTGAATTCCAACTACATATCTGATCTGTCTCTCCTCCCCCTGCTCTGTTCTTCCCCAAATACTGCTTCCAAGTCCCAGATTCCTTATCCAGCCAGTCACAGTCTCCCTCTAGCTTCTTTTCCAATCTGTGTCCCTTCCCCAGCCAATTGGCTGCAATTCATCTGCTCTGTTTCCCATACTGGCTCCCAATCTCCCTGACCAGTTCCTAGTCTCCTTGTCCAACAACTCCCAGCTTCCTTTGCCCCCACCTGATCCCAGGCCCAGGCTCCTGGCTCAAATGACTAGCCAGTGCCAGTCATCCTTCTTCTAGCCCACATGTCACAGTTGATCTCCTTCCCCATTTCATCACACTTCTTGTCCCAGTCAAATCCTCCCCCTCTGGCATGGCTTTTGTCTGTTCTATATTCAGATCAGATGGCTTCCTCCTCCACACTGCCTGAGCATTAGCAGGATGGACACTGAGAACACAGGAGAAACAGTCTCCCTGCTCTCATTTCCAGTGCTCAGCTCCAGCCTGATCAGAGCACCCTGAAGCAGCAATTACAGGGAAAATCTGGTCCTGACCTAGAGTATGCTCAGTTGCTCTAGGAAGATAGTACATGCACCCTTTGGTCACATAGAGGAGCTATGAAGGTACAGAGCACACTCACTTGCTCTGTGAGAATGGCAGGTGTGCATTCTGGTCACACTTTGGAGCTGTGAGATAATCGAGCATGCTCACTGAGAATGGAATCTTTGGAACAGTTAGTGACTAAAACTGAAAAAGTCTCTGAGCATGTGTTTATGAATTGACCAAATTTGGGTAGATTTTCAAGGAGATGCAAAAGGCACAGCCTTACCACACAGGTTGCTCACCTGCCAAATGTCAAATCTCTGCTGCAAAGTATGGGGGGGGGGGTCACTGGGACTTTCAATAGTAAAGGTTGCCAGATTTTTTTAATCCAGACAAGATATATTTTCCCCTCCTCATAGAGGACTGAACCATTTGGCTAAAATTTGCAGAAAGATTCAGCCTGAGGCAGACGTCCAGCCTGGAAACCTCAAGCCCAAATTATTAAAAGTCTGACAAACTTATAAATAATTGAATAAAATCTTATCCTAGAACCTAAATAACAGGTTCTGTTAGCTCTGCTTACAGTAGTTTGAGACTCTGCCAGCCTTTCAGGATGAAAAAGACTGTAAAATGTAAATTTTTGCTCTTAAGTTCTTTGAAGACATAAGCAAATGTGATTATATAACTTGGATTCCCACAGGCGGCTGGCTGACAAGCTGGCTACAAAGTGGATGGTGCTGCAGGGATGCTCTCCATTAGAATGCATTAGAATTTATTTGGCAGTGGCCCGGAAATGGCCTCTCTTTGGAGCCAAGGTATTTGCTGCTAAGGTAATCAGAGGTGGCTTCTTGCTGGAATACTTTGTTTCTTTACCCCAAGTTAAATTTGCTCAGCTTAGCTTCCATTATGATCTTTGTTAAAACAGCTCACACCTCATGGGGAACTTTGGAAGTTATTTAGAGGTACAGCCCTTTCCATACTATTCCATTGGGCTGACCAAGCTGTATTTAATTTCCCATCTGTTTAGAAGACCGACTACAGAAGACAAATAAATGTTAGAGACACTAGGGGTTGCTAGAGTATCACAGATTATACACTGAAGCTCACAGGAGTCAGAACTTGTCTACATGAACCCTGCTGCGACACTGTAAAAGTTCCTAGTTCACAGCAGCGGGGTACACACAGACACTGACTCTGCAACAAGCTAATGAAGGGCAGATTTACACTCCAACTTGCTGCAAACTATATTTCTATAGACAACCCCATATGGATCGATACTGTGTCCTTGATGACAAAGGGAAAGATGGTTTAAATATCGTATTTCTTAAGTATCTAGCAGTGGAGGGAAAGGAAAAAATACTTCTGTAAGTCAGACCGTGTAGCTGGAGACATGTAAATGAAGAGAACAGATGTTTCACTTCTGTTTTCAGTACTGTGCAAGAATCCTTTTTCTCATGTGAGAAAGGTAAACAGTATTACTTTTCCCTGTTGTACAAAGAGAGAAACAGAAGCACAGAGAGACTAAATTCACTTTCCAAAAATCACATATCAGTGGCAGAGCCAGGAACAGAACCCAGAAGTCCTGGCTTCCAATAGTTTCAACTCTCCTGAATGTAAGGATCTATTCCTACTACATCCTCCCAAATTAGGATATGTTGACACTGCAGTTTTGAGGTCTGACTGCTGCATGTCTAGACATACCTGAGCTAGCGCTGATCAAACTAGCTCACTAAAAGTAGCAGTGAAGCTGCAGCAGCACAGCTGGTAGAATGGACTAGGAACTCAAATTGGGATCCAGAGTCTCAGGCAGACTTAAACTAGGATGGTTAGCTTGTGCTGCCACAGCTTCACTGCTATTTTTAGTGAGCTAACTTGGGCATGTTTACATGTACTGTAGTCACACCCCCTAACTGCAACATAGACATACCCTAAAGCCAGGTCTACACAGAAAAGTTTTATCGGCATAGCCATGTCAGTCATGAGTGGGTAAAAAAAACCCACAGCCTTGACATAGCTATGCCAATGTAACCCTCTGTACAGACACAGCTAGGTCAATGAAAGAAGGCTTCTGTTGATACAGCTAATTTTGTTCAAGGAGGTGATGTTCCTACGCCAACTGAAAAACCCCATGCTGACAAACCTGTGCCAGTATAATCTCCTTAGAGTAGACACATCCTTAATTACGGAGAGTAGTTGTGATCCTTTGGTCTCTTGCTTTGAGGTCAAAGTAGTTAACTTTCTGAAATAAAATCTTAAAAGTACGGCTCTTCTCTGCAGTTAAACTGGAAGTTCCCTTCCAGTTCAGGGAGCATGGAAGCTTCCTTACGCTGATTGGCTGTCACCAGGGAAAGCAGGAAAGGTCACAAGCATTTGGAGTCAGTGGGGCTGAAAAGCAGAAGATACAGTAATTCCATCCTGAGAGTAAACAACAATCTATTTGACACCTTCCCTATAGTTACACTGCCAGAACTATGTATTAGTCATAACAATAACACAGCACAGAGTCCCATGAGAAACCAGTGGTTTTAGCCATAACAGTAATGGTCAACACAGTATCTTCTGTATTTACCAAACAATCTGAATTGTCTTTGATAAAACAGACTTCACTCTGATGATATAAAACCTTCACATGAGCATGAGTCACATCAAATCATTAGCAGTTCTCAGAATAGCTTTATTTAGAGCATGGAGTTTCCTTCTGAGGAAACTTTGTCCTTGGATATCCTTAGTCTACATCAAGGCTCAGTAATACATGTTTGAGGGGTCACACACAAAATGAATTGCTAAAATCATTGTCCCTCTGGCTGGAACTCTCTGATGGAGATAGATTTACCACTTCCCCCAGTATTTCTGGCATGTTATAAATACTGTAATGACTGAGAGGGCATTGGATGGCTCAGGGGACTGATAATGGGCTAGAAAGCTTTTCTCATCTAAATCACTATCGTGGATATAGCCTTGTTTGATAACGACCATTGCTTTCTGATGGTCTATGTAAAATGCATTGGTAATCTGAATCTAGTTCTTAGGGTACCACAACAACTGGCACTAACTGGCCTTTGGCACTATCAGCCTAGGACACTGAGCTGCAGTACCCTATTACTTGAGGACAGGCGTGAGGCACACTGGCAGAAGACAATGTAGGGATACCAGCATTGCTGCTGCCTACAGAGTACCTGTTCTGTGGAAGAACACAGGCAGTCAGCCTCAAGCCCCACAGTGAGGAAAGCAACGTAAGAACCTGAATAGACTAGGGCTGTCAAACTGGTGCTTTGAACCAGCATTACACTGAGTTTTCAGTATGCTGATTGAAAACAGGTTTTAAAACCATGGAGGTCTTATGAGCAAGATCATATAAATCACTGGGATCAGTTGCACAAAATATGCAACAATAAAGTAGCTACTTCAAGTTAAATACATTGTCAGGCTAGCTAATATACAGGAACCTCAGTTTTTACACACACCCTCCCTACCTTGTCCTTTTTTTTGTGATGCTATAGAAATGTCTAAATTAGTTATTTCTTATTTCCCCAGCCTGCCCTGCCTTCTCTCTTAGAAGACTGTCCAGTTTGGATAGCTGTGAATGAAGATGGCATTAGTATACTAGATTACAATACTATGGTATGGCAAAGCATTTTGATTGAGAAAAATAACTTAATCCCTAAGAAGCACGTTCCCACAATTTAAATTCATTGAATAAAATTCTGGAGCCACTAAGTTAAATGGCAAACTTCGATTGACTTCAGATGGGACCACAGTTTGATACACAGAAGTTAGAGATGGAAAAGATTTTCTGTATTTAAATCCTGCATAAAGATACAGGGTAGTTACTGCTGAGTCAGAGGCAGCTGCAATTTGTTAATACAACCAGAATATTAAAATGGTTGGATTGATTCTCTCTCAGGCTGTGTCCAGACTCAGGGGTTTTTTCAAAAAAAGTAGCCTTTTTTCGAAAAAGCTTCACCTGCGTCTAGACTGCAGCCGCGTTCTTTCGAAATTAAATCGAAAGAGTGCGGCTTTTCTTTCGACGGTGGTAAACCTAATTCCACGAGGAAGAACGCCTTCTTTCGAAAGTGCTCTTTCGAAAGAAGGCGTTCTTGAAAGCAAGCAGGCTTTTTAGAAAGAGAGCATCCAGACTCACTGGGTGCTTTCTTTCGAAAAAGCGGCTTGCTTTTTCGAAATTCCGCATGCAGTCTAGACGCTCTCTTTCGAAAGAGGCTCTTTCGAAAGTATCTTTCGAAAGAGGCTTGCAGTCTAGACATAGCCTCAGGGGCTACATCTAGACAGCGGGGCTATTTCGGAAATATCCTGAAATAGCAATTCCACATCTTTAAACAGGCCTGTTATTTCAAAATATATTTCAAAATAACGGGCATGCTATTCTGGCATCCCTGTAACCCTCGAGGGATTTGCTGAAATAGTACTTTATTTGTAACGCAATTTGCGTAGCTTATTTTGAGGTAAGGGTGCTTCTGTGCACCCAGAGGCAGCTAGGCACTGGACTTTCAGGGATAGCCTAATATAAGGATCAAGCTTAGGCTGAGATATTTCTTTAATATCTGAGTTGCCAATACAGTCAAACCCCAATGGGGGGGGGGGGGTAAATTTGGATTATAAAGAGTACGTCTACATTCTGTTCAGTGCAGCAGAGCTGCTTTCAATTGTTTTCACTGCTAGGAATTTGATGTTGTATAGGAAAATAAGCACTCTTTGGGGAGATTTTTTTTCCTTTTAAAAGAATTTGGTTGCCGATTCAACTTTCTCTCCATCATCTGCAGCACTTAAAGCTATCTTACCCATACTCATCTGTGCTGACCTTTGGAGGCTGTCGGGATGACTTCATGATCGTAGTCAGCCAAGGGAAGGATAGAAGTTCTGGGAAAAACAGCACTGAAAAATTACTTTTCACAATGGCAGCTCCAAAGGTGGGTATAAGACAAACAGCAGAATGGGTCCTGTGGCAGCACAAAAGCTGTGTATTAAAACCAGCTAGGCCTTTACTGTTTTTTCTGTGGAATCATACCTTTCCTTTTTGCACTAACCCTCCTGTGCTTTCAACCTGGGAAGCCTCTTATGGGCCTCAAACAGATGGATCCATTCAACCTAGCTCTAAATGTATTTGCTCAGCTCTAAATAGAACAATTCAGCTTTCAGACATTGCCATGCTCAACAATTTCTCTGTAGCTGGGTATCTGAAATCAAAGTGCATTTTCCCTCTCATTGATCAACTGTTAATTATTTTCTCTCACAGATTGTGGAAGTGACTCTTCTAATTGCCAGCTATATTAACTACTGTGCACTGACTCCCCTCCTGTCTCCTGCACCTCCTTCTCTGAGCGTCATCTCACCTCTGAGCACAACGCCAACTAAAAAGCTCTGGGAGACTCAAAGCCAGTGTTTCTTTCCTTCTGTGCCCCGTACCACCAAAGGGCCTACACTGCTCTGAGTGCTTGTTCTCAGTGCTTCTGGGCTTCAGTGATTTTTTTCAAGCTGTGATTTTGCTGTTTATGTATCCTGTTTTAATGCAGATTCCAGTTCTCTCTCCTTGTTGTGGTATGACGTATGCTTAGAAGTAATATCCTTTCTTTTCTAAAGAATAGTTGTTGGGGGTCTGTTGACATTTTCTCCCTCTGCTATATGCTCTCTTAAACATGCTAAGGACATCTTTCTTTCTTGCTGCTCCAATCACATCACTCCCTCTGAATCTCTTGTTTTTGCACTCCTTCAAGGTAAGGTTGCCAATTTTGGTATAAGATATTCTTGAAGTTTTCAGCACATGATGTGACATTTAAAGATCAATCTTTAATTCCTGAAGACTCCTGGACAATTATGGAGGGTTAGCAACCCTACTTCCATGTCATGTTCAAGCTGCTCTTACAAGTATGTCCCTTCCCATTCTGATCTCAGCATCACTATTTCTGATGCCTAGAAATTTTCTCCCACTTCCAGTGCTCCTTGTGAGCTCTCTTGCATCCTCAACACATTCCATTTCAGTAACCTTCCACAGTTCCACCATTCACCATTCCTGTCTGCCCACTTCACTTTTGAATCATTAACTTACCTGTCCTTCACCTGAATTAGACTGTAAGCAACTTGGGCATGGGACTTTGACTTTTGTATGTTTCAAGTATAATACACAGTGTAAGAGAACTGTGGTATGAGGCTTGTGCAAGGATTCTTCTTATTGAATATGGCCAGTATGAGAAGTTTTATATTCTTAGATCATACAATACATGTACCAAAATAGGGCAACTTCCAGAGTATAAAGAGCAATATAATGGAGCTTTACAGTGACCCTATTACATGGTTTAGGTACAACATTAACCCTATGCACTGGTGGTGAATTTCCTCCATGTTCCAAAGAGTTGCCAGTGGTATTCAAATTCACTATTGCCAATCCCAAAACAACTGCTGAATTAGCCAGTCTTTTTGTATGACCTATAATATTTTTGTACTGTGCTATGACAGCTGAGCTGACACCTCAGTGTGATTGGTGCTCAGATTCAGAAGCATATGCAGCCCAAAGCCAAAGGTCTCAGAAGGACATGGAAAGGGAAAAAAAAGTTGACTAGATGAAAAAGAAGCTAAGCTGACAAGGAAAGAAATGTCAGTCTGTGTTTTGAAGAACATATTACATAGAAAAGGGAGTGTTAAAGGAGACGTTAATACTACTTTAGAAGAAAGGACAGAGCAGTTTTGCTTTAGTAAAATTAGGGAAAAAATGTAGCAACATCTCTGCATTTTGAGGACTTAGCAGAGATGACGACGTTCTTACTCTTGTAGGACTGAGGTACCATAGAATGCCCTGCTGCTCTATAAAATGGACACACAGCCAGGTCTCCACCACGCGGCTGACTTGATAATGCACAGTTCCCTGACAGACCTATGCTTTCAGAGACTCTTGGTGTCAACCACTGTATTGTATGTGTTTTAAGATGTGTTCACTACTGTATAACATTACTGCACATGATCTCTATGAACTGGAAGGCAAGGTAAATAAGTTTTGTATTTGTAAGGTCTTCCAGCAACTGGTATAGTTTTTAGAAAGAGCTAGACCACACTAATTTCATAGCTGTAGTTACTTACAAACCCCAGCTTCTATCATACCAGTAGCATAAGAGGAAGTGGCTATCAAATAGATTCCCAAATATTTTCCTTCAGGTCTTCCTAGCTAGCGCAATTTCACTAGTCCCAAAGGGACTCTGTCAAAGTTGGGTCAAAATGTGACCTTTGGTAGAGGTTTCACATAGGTTTTTGAACTATTCTTCCAAAGACACAACAAATCTACCTAGCTCAGGTTTTATATTGTGCCCATCAATCTTCTAGCTAAGAAACTTAGAAAAATAAAATGATCACCACCCCAGCACCACAAGAAACTAGTGGGCACTGCCTAGCTATCATGGGCTCCCCATTGAAAGAATCCAGTCCCCATGAGCAGTTCTACACTAGCAATTTGGTTCTTCCAGCCCTGTGTTCACAATGAGAAAACTGACAATAACAAAACGGGCTTAATTTAGTGCCCATCAGCAACCCTGCAAATCATTGTATATACCACCCAGCACTCTACAAGCAACTTTAAAACACTAAGCCAGTGTATACACTGACTACATTACAGAAAGGAAATAAATAGGTTTCATTTTCAAGCATCCAATGTGGGATTAGACACAAATAGTGAAGAACGTGGACCTGGGCAAATTATCTTGTAAGCAATTCTTTGACAGAATCCTTTTAGGCCTCTAAAATATGAAGGCTGGTGAAAGTTTGTGCCAAAAACAACAGTCTGGAGCTGATAAATCCTGGAGGTCTGATTTGCACATATTGTAATTTATTCCAGTCTCTCGTGCTCAGGGACTTTCCCATCAAACTGTTGAGACGAGCGGTGGGTTTTCTGAGCCAAAGAATAATTTGACAAAGTTTTGATTTTTAGTTTTTTAAAAGTTGCAGCTATAGTCAAAAATGTGACTATGTACCTTGACACAGTGGTCTCTAATATTTATTTGATCTCGCTCTAATCTCATGTGGCAATTTGAGTCAAATGAGGGATTTTTTTCCCTTCAATTTCCTGCACTGCAATCCTCCCCTGTGGTATGAGAATCTAACCGGCCACCTGCCTCTTACATTATTACCAGCAACGAAGATTCTTCAGTCTGAACTGAGCTATTACTTTTGTTAACGATGCACAGGGTCCTACAGGAGTAATGCTGACTCATAGATATGTAGAAAGAGAGATGTTGAGTAAGAATGGGGCCATTTTTACTGTCATTTTTCTGACCATAACTGCACTTTAACCATGACAGCATGGCATTTTGAGCCTTAAGTCCTTAGATCTTAAGAGCATTCACCAGTACTTGAGCATTTCAGGGAATATTCCACATAAGTGAATGCCACCATATCCCTCTTATTTATATCTTACCTGAATTCAGAAAACTCTGTAGATTAAATATTTTTTTTGATTCCTTGGTAGAGAATTTTTTTATTTTCATCAACATTTTTGGTAATGACTGGACATTTTCTAAAGTGCAGAATGAGACACTGAATAACAAAAGCTTAACTGCTGTGCCGTATGTAAAAGGCTGTGTCACACTGTGAGGTTTTATTTTTGGTCTTAATAAAATGCAGTTGTCCGTGACTCAAGTTGTGTTTGTCTCATTATTATCATAATCAGCATTTATGCAGCAATTTGATGTAAATTGTGACATAACCTTTTAGGAGCCAAAAACAGCCTGGATTTAAGTGGGTATATTAAAAAGATGACCTTATTTAACTTGGTATCAACTTTTCCATTCCGAAATGCTGCTTTTCACTGGTGGTCCTTCAGCTAAGCCACAAGCACTCCACTCCTTCTGGCACTAAAAAACAATCTTTCAACATGCTTCAGACTAAGCAGCTCTTCCTCTCACTGGGCCACATATCTTCCCTGCCACTGGGCTACAGGTCCTCTTCTACCACCTTCCTGGGCTCTCCAGCCTATTTGCCCTACTGACAGAACTATAGACAGGGGACTTCCTCCCACTTTCACTGAATAGCCCACCCTAGACCCACCCTAATTGAGCACCAACTCTCCTCAACATCCCTCTGCACTATTCTGCCCAGGTTACTTCTTTCTGGCAATGCCCCTCCTCAGAGTCATTCTTTATCCAGTCCATAGACTTCTCTCCAATCTTTTCCCAGTTTCTCTTCTACCAGGTGATCTGGCTGTGTCCTGAGGCCTACTACCAAGGAGAAACCATCCCACCTCATTCCTTCATTCACCTGTCTCACTGAGCCACAGGTACTTCTTACATAGCCCTGCTTGTCATGTTATTCCTTAGTCACAGGAAATGCCCCCTCTTAAAAGGCCAAATTTCAGTTGTGCCAAGGCTCACTCTTAAAGGATGCAACTTCATCGAGTTCATTGGTGTATAGCCTGCTTAAACCAGGGCAGGATTTAGCTTTTAAAGTATGCACCGCTCCAGGTACGACTTTAGTAATTAAGATATTAATTAAAGAATGGGTGAGAAACTAAGCACAGGAAAGTTAAATGACCTGACCAAAGGCCTCCCAGAAGACTGTAACAAAATCCAGAGCTCTCACCTTAATATGTATTAACAATCAGACAGACGCAATAGGAAGGAAAGTCGTTCTAAAGTGTAAATTTAACATTTTCAGAGCCACTGCCATCTAAACTGTTAGCGCACGGCCTATTGATATACCTAGCTTTCACATTATGGTACTAACTACAATGTGTTCTGTTTTTATGTAAATTATGTGTGAGCATCAGGCTCCTGATTAGCTGCTGACATGTCCTTTGAGCTGCACATGTTATATTAGAATGAGAGCATTCCAGAAAGCCCCACAAACCTAGGTCATATTTGCTAAAAGTTATAATAATAGTCAGGATACCAATGAGGTACAAATACAAGTTTACATCATGAAATACTCTGCAGGACATAAGTCAATACAAACTTTATTTACACACATTACCAGAAGCAGATTTCCCCCCATCTGCAAAGGAGTTCCAGGCATCTATAGCAGCCCTTCGCCTTCCAAACAAAGTAAGCTGGAAGCCATCTACAAAACAAAAGAAATGCTGCAGCAAGTTTGGCATTTTCCTGAGCCAGTTTCCTTTCTCTTAGCTCTTCTCAGACCACAAAAAGAGCTGTGCTCCTTGCATGTCTGCTTGGCTTTGGCTGATTTAGGGATGATACTTTCGTTTTCAAACAAAAGCTTCAAAGAATTTCACACAAAAACCTAATTCAAATATTCACTGTATAGAGCATTTGGGATGTTTGTTATTTGTGGGTTTATTGGCAATCTGGCCAAGGTTGCACGGTGTGCTTATGAGAATTTGTTTCAGGACTTATCAAAGGAGTATACATTTGTAGCCTGATGTCCCCATAACCAGCCTCATCCCTCTCTCGGCAAGGAGAAAAATCCCATCTCTGTGGCTCCAGTTTGAAAATAATTCTCACCTGAATTGCATTAATATTTTGGGCAGCCAAGTATCATTAATTTTTACGTCATTATTTTGGCAAGGATAAATTTAGTGGCTGGGCTGAAAAATTTTCCATAACGGTGAGCCACTATCAACAGCTTTATTTGCCACTGGATCGCAGTCTATATACATCATCTGGTTTAAAAACAACTGCAGATCTGGTATGGTTTGGGGTTCATTTACTATATACAGTCTAACCTAGTTTGCTGTGAGTCTTCTACCTTGATGACTTTTTATTTTAAAGTTCTGGTGATGTTTTAGTCTTCCTCTGCTCCAGGATTTCTTGGCAACTTCGATACACTTCAACTAGACAGTCTAAACGTGGCTTGGAGCTCTAGAAGTCAAGGAAAAACAGTCAGGCTCTGAGCTGTCTCATGAACAATTAAAGAGTTTTCATCTTCATCCAGAGTATTATTTGTCAGATGAATGAAAGAGTGGAAAGAAAGCACACAAAGCAAGCTTCCATTGGAACTCAAAAGCAAGGGAACTAAAAAACAAGACATCTGCAGTAGATTACTGTCCTGAAGAGAGATGAGGACTCTAGAGAGTGAACTCCTCTCTGTCCCATATAACTTGAGGTGATCCATCAGGCTCCAGGAAATGGCTGAAGTAAAATGGAGGGGAATGACTTTATGAGCATAACCTGTGTTGTACCTGCCCTATGGTTAGAGGACTTCAGTCCTCAAGGCTGTCGATGTACTACTTTTAAGGAATAGGATATTCACTTTGTACTTTAAGTTAAAGCAATGTTATGGTTGAGATTTTAAACACTCAAAGCTTAGAATATTCACGTTGATGGTTCATATAATTTATATCCTTTATAAACCACAGAATCATAGAATACTAGAACTAGAAGGGACCTTGAGAGGTTTATCGAGTCCAGTCCCCTGCCCTCATGGCAGAACCAACCACAGTCCAGACCATCCCTGATAGATGTCTATATAACCTGCTCTTAAATATCTCCAGAGATGGAGACTCCACAGCCTCCCTAGGCAATTTATTCCAGTGTTTAAACCACCCTGAGAGTTAGGAAGTTTTTCCTAATGTCCAACCCAAACCTCCCTTGCTGCAATTTAAGCCCATTGCTTCTTGTCCTATCCTCAGAGGATAAGGAAAATAATTTTTCTCTCTCCTCCTTGTAACACCCTTTAGATACTTGAAAACTGCTATCATGTCCCTTCTCAGTCTTCTCCTTTCCAAACTAAACAAGTCCAATTATTTCAGTCTTCCCCCATAGCTCATGTTCTCTAGACCTTTAATCATTTTTGTTGCTCTTTTCTGGATCTTCTCCAATTTCTCCACATCTTTCTTGAAATGTGGTGCCCAGAACTGGACACAATACTCCAATTGAGGCCTAATCAGCACAGAGTAGAGCAGAAGAATGACTTCTTGTGTCTTGCTCACAACACTCCATTTAATGCATCCCAGAATCATGTTTGCTCTTTTTGAAACAGTGTCACAAAAAAGTAAATGTAGCATTCTGTTTTACTAAACCTGAGCTTTAATTTAATGTCTCAATATACCTGTGCTACAGGACAGCTACAATGGTAACGGGAACCATAATTTTGACTTCCCATCTCACCAACAATATGTCAATAACAATTATTCCAGTTTAAAATTCCTTGACTTTCCAGTAATAAAATAATATAAATACATTTCTTCAGAAGCTCTCAAAGTGCTTTACTAACACCAAGTAAGCCTCACAATCCTTCAAAGTAGACACATCTCTTTTTATTTATGAATTAACTCACTTGATTCAGAGGACTTGCCCAAGTTTACACATTGAGCCAAACTGAACTTTAATAGGAGGAGTAATTCTGCTAAATTCAGTGGCTTAATTTGGCTCAGTAAATCAGTACCAGATCCAAGAAAAAATGTGACTGCATATTCTAACACACGCACGTGTTATAAGTGAAATACACATTGATCAGATCAGATGGTGGGGAACAAATGATGTGGCATAAGACAGGGATTAGTCTTCCACTATCAGAATTTAGAATATTTATTGGGAAACCAAAAGGGCCTGACTGACAGGAGATCACCATATCTTCTTAATAAAGAAGAGGACGACTGCAACTGAATTCCTCTTATACTAATCAATCATGGGCTTTGGGTTCCAGGCAAATTACTAATGTAACTCTGCAAAATTTGGGCAGTAAATCTTTACTAAGCCTCAGTGGCCCTTGGCTTTAACAATAATTTTAAGCAGTGTGATTTGATGAGGTCTCAATTGCTTCTTTTTACTGGCCTTGTTCATCTAGCATACTGAATACTATGAGGATAATGTATATTACATGTAGTGCCAAAAAGCATTGCACCAAGAGTATTATGTTACTGTTATTTTTAAAATTTTGTTAGTCTCTCTTCCCAGTCTTTACTCTCTTGTAAAAGCCATCAATACAATAGCTGCAAAACATCCATGTGGTCAATATGTCACTTATGAAAGGGAAATAACACTATTACTTATTCCTTTCTTTTGCTCCTACCCAGCTCCTTTCATCTGAGGATCTCAAAGCACTTTATACAAGATGGTTAAGTGTTCTACATTGTGTAGATAGGTAAAACTGGGGCACATAGAGGGTCAGAGGATTTTTTGCAAAGCAAAGGAATAAAACCCCGAGGGTCCTGATTCTCAGTCCCATAACCCAATCATCACCCCCACACTACCTACCTTACATATATTTTGCTTCCTCTGTTTAAATATTAAACAGGTATGTGATGGGAAACAGCTTTCCTCTTACTGACTCTATACCCCTGGATCCTGCCTGGGAGGAGCTACTTTTAATAACTGGGAGTTCAGACTCCTCTGTCCTTAGCCTCTGCTACTACCACCCACAAGAGGAAAGGAAGTGGACTGAAACCAATAATTCATTCCACAGATATAATCACTAAATGGCAGTCACAGGATAATGGTTTTCTGTCATTATTGACCAGGGTCAGATTAAAACCAACAGAGAGGTGAAAGGTTCTGTAACCTATTCCTACCCTCCTGAGTGATCCAGTCCCTGGGGTATTATGACTTTTGAGCTCCCAAAACAGCACTGCAGTATAAAGTCCACCTAAAAGCTACTTTTATAAATGTTGCCAGTGGTGGCTTACGAGAACAATAGGTCAGATCAGGACAAACATTTTAATGGGCTCAGTGAGATGGTAAATTGTATTCACTAAAATTGCCTTCTCTAAAGTTGGCAGAACATAGAAAAATACACACTCTGTACAGCAGAGGCAATAAGGTAAGAGGTTACTGCTCCTGTTAAAGTGTCTGCAAAGGCACCTTAAGCATGTCAGATTGTCCTCAGTGAGAATTACTGAGGGGTACTGAATTTTAGACTAAAGCAGCAAATGATTGAAGGAGAATCAAATACAAGTCCCAGGAAATACCCTATAAAGTAACATTCTTCAGAGCTGGGTGGGTGAGAGGAACCCTCCTCCCCGCAAAGGCAAGCATGTCCCTTCTACACTGGCAATGAATAGAGGCAGCTGAGATCACAGTCTGGTGCCAGGATTCTCGATGGACTCATTGCAAATGACAGGGATCCCAGCAAACCCTTTTTCTGACCTTGGATCTGCTGAAGAAGGTTAACTGATACACTGTAAGTATCTTTGAGATCTTTGCCTATTATCAGCAACATGTGTGGCTGAATCAAATGCTGAATGCAATTTAGCTGTGAGAGTGTAGCCATGGACAAACTGTATTCAATAATGACTCAGAAACCACGACTAAAACCCAACACTCAGCTGCAAGTAATTTTCACAGGTAGAGAAGACGTTGGAGTATTCCTTCACTATAAAAACATTGGTTATTACTATCAGAGCTGTCCCTTGGATATGGCACATTGGGGCAACCACTCCAGGCTTGTTGCTCTCTGGGGGTCTCATGCTTCAGTGTTCATGTATCCTGTAGGACTCAGGCTCAAGTCTCTGGCATCAGGGCTGACTCTGTGTGCACCTGAGGCCTGGAGTAGGGATGTTAAATTGCGAGTAATCCGGTGACCATGTAGCCAACAAATATTTTGTTGGCTACATGGTTACCCGATAAGCAGCTCTGCAGTGAAAGTACCTAAGGAGTTGGCAGGCAGGAAGTCTGGCTCAGTCCCAGCTTGTACCGGGTCCTGGCAGCTACCCCCTCTGTGGCCCCTGCATGAGAAATACCTAAGGACTTCTTTTAATGCAGAGCTGCAGTGAAGCACTAGGTGCCTGCGAGGACTTAGTACGAGCCAGGACTGAACCGGGCTGCCAGCCAGTCCACTAAAAAATTTACTAACAGAGCCTCGGGGAGGTAGGGGGCGTTGCATGTAGCCGGTAGCATTAATCAATAGCATCTGTTTATAGGTTAATCATTTAACCAGATACACTATTAGAGCCCTAGTCCGGAGCACCCCTGGAAAAACAGCCCCCCCCCCGGGCAGATTAGAAACACAGACTGATTTGTCACAGGCCCTGCACTCCACTAGGGATGGCCCAGATTACTATATTTGAAACATGAAAGGAAAACAAGCTGTGTTAAGCAGTAACACAAGTAAAATAAAAAGAAATGCCCAACCCTAAAGAGCTCATAATATAGGTTATGACAAATCATGACAATTGGTTCATACAAATAAATGGGCAGAGAGAAGAGAGACAAGGTAATAGCAAAGTTAAATGTTAAGCAGAGGTTTCAGCTCTCTTCTGTTTCAATACCTTTGATTGGTCACTTACTTCAGAGAACCCCCTCATCAGAACCTCTGACTCAGGTAGAGATGTTAAATTTAGATCAACTGGGTAATTGAATAGTCGATAAGGGTGCCTCTGCCCCAGGGCTGTTGCTACACTTCAAAGGCGAAAGCACTACAGAGAGCATGGGGCCATAGGCAGACTCAAGCAGTCCCCCGCCAGCCCTGTGCTCCTTGTAGTGTTTCAAAGTGGCAGTGCTGCATGGAGCCCAGGGTCAGTGGGGGAGTCCCCAGCTGATCCCTGGCTCCATGGGGTGCTGCCACTTTGAAATGCCTCATGCTGCCCTCAGCTGGACCTAGGCTGTACCCAGCGTTTCAAAGCGGCAGCGCTGCATGGAGCCCAGGATCTGGCCCTGGGCTCCATGCGGCACTGCTGCTTTGAAGCATTCCCCTTCTGATAGAGGCAGCAAGCAGGGGGAAGGAAGCAACTAGTCAACTAGTGTGTCGACTAGTCGTTCACATCCCTAAACACCAGTAATACCAACAAACTACAAATCTGGATCGCTCAATAGTCCATTTCTTTCTCACCTGAAACAGGGGCACCACCTCAGACACCCCATTAGGTTCCTGAGGATCCTGGAGAAGGATGCACAGGTAATAGATAACTTTTTGCTAAAAAACAAAAGCAAAAAACAACAAAGCACGAGAATTTAAGGCATCTTAATAATATTATCAGAGAGAGGGAATCTGTTCCTAAAAAAACGTGGTCTGAGGATTGGGATAAGAGACTTGAAATGACTCAGCACCAACAACTGTGATTTCAACAAGGAGCAATTTTTCCTTTAAAACAACGTGGTCTCCTCTCACCTTCAACTATA